TTCATTTATAATTGTCAAATGCATGTTTTGAAATGGATTCTGTTTTTTGATATAAAAGAAGAATCTCCGATTGTTCCGATTTGGATTTCATTTCCGAACTTACGATTGCATTTTTTTAATTCTAAAGTGCTGCATGCGTTGGGTTCTATCTTCTGGAGACCTCTCCAAACTGATCAGGCTACTGCTTCTAAAACCCGTCCCTCTGTAGCTAGAGTTTTGGTTGAGGTGGATATATCGAAAAAACACCCGAAGGAAGTTTGGGTGGGTTCTAAAGCTTATGGATATATGCAAAAAGCTGAATTTGAGAAATTTCCAGAATTTTGTAATCACTGTAAAATGCATGGTCATGCCGTCGCTGATTGTTTTAAACTTAATCCGGATTTGAAGAAAAATGTTGTGCAACCTAACGGAGGACCTGGATCTACCGTGAATAACAAAGTGTATGTGCCCATAGTGAATAAAAATTTTGAAGAAAATGTTATTCAGGCGGAACCGTCCTCTGCTTTGCACAATGTGTCTTTGGATGCTGGTGAAAGAAATGTTTTGGGAGAAAAGGATTCTGGTAAGGAGATCGTTCCGGATAAATCAGAGGAGGTTTTAAATAACGTTGGTAATTTTGTTTTGAACAACAAGGGAAATGAAATTGTTTCTGACCCTAAGCTTTTTATTTTAGTTGATGATATGTTAAATGAAATGCCTATCAATTCTAATTCCGTGGCTATTGAAAATGCTTTGATTGCTAACCAGGATATTACTTATTTAGGGGATGGCGGCTCTAATTCAAACTTGGAAACATATGAGGAAGGGGAAGTTATTCCTGTATCTAAGGTTGATCTTTCCTCTCTTAATAATCAAGATTCCTCTTCTTCCCCTTCTAATTTGAAGGTTCATAATGTTGTGGAGGAGGATTTGGTTTGTAAAGGTGGTAAGAAAAAAGGAAAACAAGGTAAAAATAACTGCCCGTCTACACCGAGATCTACCAGAGCTCATAATTCTTACAAAGAAGGTAATGGTTAAAGCTCTTATGTGGAATGTGAGGGGTATTGATGGTAAGGATTCCAAAATTAGAGTTAAAAATCTTTGTAGAATTAACAATATTCAACTTCTTATTTTAAGTGAACCTCTTATTAATGCTGATAAAATAGCTGCTACTGCTAAATTTTTGGGTTTTCCTATGTATTTTGCAAATTGCTCGAATAAAGTATGGATAATGTGGAATAACCATATTGAAGTAGACATTGTTATGGATTTACATCAAGTTGTTCATTGTCAAATTAAGGTAGGTAGTCTGAATTGTTATGCTTCTTTTGTTTATGCTGCTTGTACTAGATTTAATCGGATTACTCTTTGGGAACAACTGGCTAATTTTGCTGCTAATATCCAAGGACCGTGGTGTGTTGGTGGGGATTTTAACATTATTGCTAATGCTAGCGAGAGAAGGGGAGGTAAATGTCCTAATTCTAGAGCTAAGGAAGATTTTAATGAGATGATTAATGATTGTCACCTGAATGATATAGGTTTCTGTGGTTCTCCTTTCACTTGGAATAGGGCTAACCTGTTCCAAAGGCTAGATAGATTCTTGTTTAATCATGATTGGTTGGCTAAATTTTCTGCCACTAATGTGGAGCATTTAAGTAGAACTCTCTCTGATCATGCGCCTGTGCTTTTAAATATTAATGTTATTAATCACACTGGTAATTTTTCTTTTAGATTTCTTAATATGTGGTTACTTCATGATAATTTCAAAATGGTTTTGGATAATAACTGGAAAGCTTCTGTGTTCCCTGATAATAATATTTCTGGTATGTTGAGGCTTTGGGCCAAATTGTCTAGACTGAAACAATGTCTGAGGTATTGGAATAAAAACATTTTCAAAAATGTTTTTGCTAATATTGTGGAAGCGGAAGCTAAAGTTATTGAGTGGGAGGGTATCCTTGTTGATAATCCTTCAGAGGACATTAGTGTTAGATTGAATGTGGCCAAGAATGATCTTCTTAACTTGCATGCTCAAGAAGAGGCTTTCTGGCAACAAAAATCTAATGCTAAATTTGTTATTGAGGGAGATAAAAATACCAAATTTTTTCATGCTTTGGCTAATAATTAAGAATAAGACTAAAAGCAGAATTCACAAAATTATT